TCACCCACTCATTCAGTCACTCACTCAGTCATTCACTCACTCACCCACTCACTCTCTCACTCACCCACTCACTCACCCACTCACTCACTCAGTCACTCACACACAGAGACGCTAGACACAGACACACACACACAGACACACACACAGACACACACGCAGACACACACACACAGACACACACACAGACACACACACACAGACTCACACACACAGACACACACAGACACACAGACACACACGCAGACACACACACACACACAGACACACACACAGACACACACACACAGACACACACACACACAGACACACACACAGACACACAGACACACACACACAGACACACACACACACAGACACACACAGACTCACACACACACAGACACACACACACAGACACACACACACAGACACACACAGACACACACAGACACACACAGACACACAGACGGCTTTGAGTGACTTTATTTGATTGACATTCACAGCCCTGCGTCGCCTGCACAGTCAAAGTGAGAGGCTCCTTCACCACGGCCGCCTTTGTATCCCCATCACCCCCACAGACTCCTCGTGGTGCCAGGCTAGGTGCACAAGACGCCACGGGGCGTGGTTAATGCAAACGAGCGAGGCGTGGTTTATGCAAATGACGAGGTGGGTGGGCGTGGTTAACGCAAGTGTCGAGGTGGGTGGGCGTGGTTAATGCAAATGACGAGGTGGGTGGGCGTGGTTAGCACAAGTGTCGAGGTGGGTAGGCGTGGTTAATGCAAATAACGAGGCGGGGGCGTGTTTAATGCAAATTAGGAGGGGCGTGGTTAATGCCCATGTCGAGGTGGGTGGGCGTGGTTAACGCAAATGTCGAGGTGGGTGGGCGTGGTTAATGCAAATAATGAGGCGGGGGCGTGTTTAATGCAAATTAGGAGGGGCGTGGTTAATGCACATGTCGAGGTGGGTGGGCGTGGTTAACGCAAATGTCGAGGCGGGTGGGCGTGGTTAATGCAAATAACGAGGCGGGGGCGTGGTTAATGCAAATGTCGAGGTGGGTGGGCGTGGTTAATGCAAATTGGGAGGTGGGTGGGCGTGGTTAATGTAAATGTTGAAGTGGGTGGGCGTGGTCCGAGCACACGAGTAAGGGGTTGTTGTGGGGGGTGGGGTCCCCCGTCAGCCGAGGAGCCAATGGGGAGGCGGCTCGAGCAGCGAGCGCGGCCAATCGGATCGCGAGTAGAGGAGACGGCGGTCACAGCGCTCCCCAGCGTAGCCATCTTCACACCTGGGGGGTGGGTGGTGGTGGTGGTGATCAATACTTCGATCGATCGTCAGAGAGGGCAGGGGGGGGTGATCGGTCATCAGAGGGGGGTGATCAATACTGTGATCGATCGTCAGAGGGGGGTGATCGATAATCGGGTGGGGGTGATCAATACTGTGATCGATCGTCAGAGGGGGGTGATCGATAATCAGGTGGGGGTGATCAATACTCTGACTGATCGTCAGAGGGGGGTGATCGATAATCAGGTGGGGGTGATCAATACTGTGATCGATCGTCAGAGGGGGGTGATCGATAATCAGGTGGGGGTGATCAATACTCTGACTGATAATCAGAGGGGGGTGATCGATAACCAGGTGGGGGTGATCAATACTCTGACTGATAATCAGAGGGGGGTGATCGATAACCAGGTGGGGGTGATCAATACTCTGACTGATAATCAGAGGGGGGTGATCAATAACCAGGTGGGGGTGATCAATACTCTGACTGATCGTCAGAGGGGGGTGATCGATAATCAGGTGGGGGTGATCAATACTCTGACTGATAATCAGAGGGGGGTGATCGATAACCAGGTGGGGGTGATCAATGATATCGATAATGTGATGGATCATCAGATGAGGTTATCGATAATATGATCGATAATCAGATGCGGTGGGATCAATGCTACGATCAATATTGTAATCAATAATCCGGTGGTGCGATAATTAATGTGACCGATAATCAGATGGTGTGATCAATAACGTGATCGATGACGTGGATGTGATCAATAATGTGACCGATAATCAGATAGGGTGATCAATAATGTACCACTGCTAAGTACCACTTAGTACTAAGTACCAACACTACTCCCACCACCATCACCATCACCACCACCACTACAACCACCACCATCACCACCACCATCACCACCATCACCACCATCACCACCACCACCACCATCACCACCACCACCATCACCACCATCACCACCACCACCACCATCACCATCACCACCATCACCACCATCACCACCACCATCACCACCACCACCACCACCATCACCACCACCACCATCACCACCACCACTAGAACTACCACCACTACCACCACCACCACTACCACCACCACCACCACTACCATCACCACCACCATCACCACCACCACTACCACCACCACCACTACCACCACCACCACTACCACCACCACCACTACAACCACCACTACAACCACCACCATCACCACCACTACCACCACCACCACCGCCACTACCACCACCACAACTACCACCACTACTACAACCACCACCACCACTACCACCACTACAACCACCACCATCACTACCACCATCACCACCACCACCACCATCATCACCACCACCACCATCACCACCATCACCACTACCACCACCACTACCACCATCACCACCATCACCACCACCATCACCACCACCACCATCACCACCACCATCACCATCACCACTACCACCACCACTACCACCATCACCACCACCACCATCACCACCACCACTACCACCACTACAACCACCACCATCACTACCACCATCACCACCACCACCATCACCACCACCACCACCACCATCATCACCATCACCACCATCATCACCATCACCACCACCACCATCACCACCACCACCACCATCACCACCACCACCACCACCATCACCACCACCATCACCACCACCATCACCACCACCACCATCACCACCACCACCACCATCACCACCACCACCATCACCACCACCACCATCACCACCACCACCATCACCACCACCATCACCTCTCACCTGCATCTCAGCTGTTTCGTCTTCTTCATACGCAGCAGCTGGCAAGCCCCGTGCAGACAGTAGAGAGACGCCCGTCCTTTGCATGGTCCTAGAGATGTTAACATGTAAACAACATGTTAACAACATGTTAACAACATGTTAACATGTTAACAACATGTTAACAACATGTTAACAACATGTTAACAGCTGGCAAGCCCCGTGCAGACAGTAGAGAGACGCCCGCCCTTTGCATGGTCCTAGAGATGTTAACATGTTAGCAACATGTTAACAACATGTTAACATGTTAACAACATGTTAACAACATGTTAACAGCTGGCAAGCCCCGTGCAGACAGTAGAGAGACGCCCGTCCTTTGCATGGTCCTAGAGATGTTAACAACATGTTAACAACATGTTAACAACATGTTAACAAAATGTTAACAGCTGGCTAGCCCCGTGCAGACAGTAGAGAGACGCCCGTCCTTTGCATGGTCCTAGAGATGTTAACATGTTAACAACATGTTAACAACATGTTAACAACATGTTAACAACATGTTAACAGCTGGCAAGCCCCGTGCAGACAGTAGAGAGACGCCCGTCCTTTGCATGGTCCTAGAGATGTTAACATGTAAACAACATGTTAACAACATGTTAACAACATGTTAACAGCTGGCAAGCCCCGTGCAGACAGTAGAGAGACGCCCGTCCTTTGCATGGTCCTAGAGATGTTAACATGTAAACAACATGTTAACAACATGTTAACAACATGTTAACATGTTAACAACATGTTAACAACATGTTAACAGCTGGCAAGCCCCGTGCAGACAGTAGAGAGACGCCCGTCCTTTGCATGGTCCTAGAGATGTTAACATGTTAACAACATGTTAACATGTTAACAACATGTTAACAACATGTTAACATGTTAACAACATGTTAACAACATGTTAACAGCTGGCAAGCCCCGTGCAGACAGTAGAGAGACGCCCGTCCTTTGCATGGTCCTAGAGATGTTAACATGTAAACAACATGTTAACAACATGTTAACAACATGTTAACAACATGTTAACAGCTGGCAAGCCCCGTGCAGACAGTAGAGAGACGCCCGTCCTTTGCATGGTCCTAGAGATGTTAACATGTTGTTAACATGTTAACAACATGTTAACAACATGTTAACAACATGTTAACAGCTGGCAAGCCCCGTGCAGACAATAGAGAGACGCCCGTCCTTTGCATGGTCCTAGAGATGTTAACATGTTGTTAACATGTTAACAACATGTTAACAACATGTTAACAACATGTTAATAACATGTTGTTAACATGTTAACAACATGTGACTGACTGACTGAGTGAGTGACTGACTGAGTGAATGATTGACTGAGTGACTCACTGAGTGACTGAGTGACTAACTGACTGAGTGACTAACTGACTGAGTGAGTGACTGAGTGACTGACTGAGTGACTGACTGACTGAGTTAGTGACTGACTAAGTGACTGAGTGAGTGACTGACTGACTGAGTGACTGACTGACTGAATGACTGACTAAGTGACTGACTGAGTGACTGACTGACTGAGTTAGTGACTGAATGACTGAGTGACTGACAGACTGAGTGACTGACTGAGTTAGTGACTGACTAAGTGACTAACTCAGTGGCTGAGTGACTGAGTGAGTGACTGACTGACTGAGTTACTGACTGACTGAGTTAGTGACTGACTCACTGAGTGACTGACTGAGTGACTGACTAACTAAGTAACTGACTGACTCATTGACTGAGTGACTGAGTGACTGACTGAGTGACTGACTGACTGAGTTAGTGACTGACTAAGTGACTGACTCAGTGACTGAGTGACTGAGTGAGTGACTGACTGAGTGACTGACTGAGTGATTGACTGACTGAGTGACTGAGTGACTGACTGAGTGACTGACTGACTGACTGAGTGACTGAGTGACTGACTGACTGACTGAGTGACTGAGTGACTGACTGAGTGACTGACTGAGTTAGTGACTGACTAAGTGACTGACTCAGTGACTGGGTGACTGAGTGAGTGACTGACTGAATGACTGACTGACTGAGTTAGTGACTGAATGACTGAGTGACTGACTGAGTGACTGACTCACTGAGTGACTGGCTGAGTGACTCACTGAGTGACTGACTGAGTGACTGAGTGACTGACTGAGTTAGTGACTGACTGACTGACTGAGTGACTGACTAAGTGACTGACTGAGTGACTGACTGAGTTAGTGACTGACTAAGTGACTGACTGACTGAGTGACTGAGTGAGTGACTGACTGACTAAGTGACTGACTGAGTTAGTGACTGACTAAGTGACTGACTCAGTGACTGAGTGACTGAGTGAGTGACTGACTGAGTGACTGACTGACTGAGTTAGTGACTGAATGACTGAGTGACTGACTGAGTGACTGACTCACTGAGTGACTCACTGAGTGACTGACTGAGTGACTGACTGACTGAGTTAGTGACTGACTGACTGAGTGACTGACTGAGTGACTGACTGAGTGACTGACTGAGTGACTGACTGACTGAGTTAGTGACTGACTAAGTGACTGACTGATTGAGTGACTGAGTGACTGACTGACTGAGTGACTGAGTGACTGACTGAGTGACTGAGTGACTGACTGACTAAGTGACTGACTGAGTGACTGACTGAGTGACTGACTGACTGACTCACCAAATAGTTTTGCCCGAGCTCGTGATTTCTTTCCACCTTTAGCTGTCTTCCTTGGGGTGGAACAGCAAACCTCACCTACAATCATCATCATCAGTAGTATCATCATCAGTAGTATCATCATCATCAGTAGCAGTATCATCATCATCATCAGTAGTAGTATCATCATCATCAGTATTAGTAGTATCATCAGTAGTAGTATCATCATCATCAGTAGTAGTATCATCATCATCAGTAGTAGTAGTATCATCATCAGTAGTATCATCATCAGTAGCAGTATCATCATTAGTAGTAGTATCATCATCATCAGTAGTATCATCAGAAGTATCATCATCAGTGTAGTATCATCATCATCATCATCAGTAGTAGTAGTCTCATCATCATCATCATCAGTAGTATCATCATCAGTAGTAGTAGTATCATCATCATCAGTAGTATCATCATCAGTAGTAGTATCATCATCAGTAAGTAGTATCATCATCATCAGTAGTATCATCATCAGTAGTAGTATCATCATCATCATCAGTAGTATCATCATCATCATCAGTAGTAGTATCATCAGTAGTATAATCATCAGTAGTAGTATCATCATCAGTAGTAGTATCATCATCAGTAGTAGCATCATCATCATCAGTAGTAGTATCATCATCATCATCATCAGTAGTAGTATCATCATCATCAGTAGTAGTATCATCATCATCATCATCAGTAGTAGTATCATCATCATCATCATCAGTAATATCATCATCATCATCAGTAGTATCATCATCATCAGTAGCAGTATCATCATCATCATCATCAGTAGTAGTATCATCATCATCAGTATCATCATCATCATCAGTAGTATCATCATCATCAGTAGTATCATCATCATCAGTAGTATCATCATCAGTAGTAGGATCATCATCATCATCATCAGTAGTAGTATCATCATCATCAGTAGTAGTAGTATCATCATCATAAGTAGTAGTATCATCATCATCAGTAGTTTCATCATCATCATCAGTAGTAGTATCATCATCATCAGTAGTAGTATCATCATCATCAGTAGTAGTATCATCATCATCAGTAGTATCATCATCAGTAGTATCATCATCAGTAGGGTGAGTTTGTGAGTGAGTCTGTGAGTGAGTCTCTGGATGAGTCTGTGAGTGAGTGTGTGGGTGAGTCTGTGAGTGAGTCTGTGAGTGAGTGGTGAGTGAGTGGTGAGTCTGTGAGTTTGTGAGTGAGTCTGTGAGTGAGTCTCTGGATGAGTCTGTGAGTGAGTGTGTGGGTGAGTCTGTGAGTGAGTCTGTGAGTGAGTCTGTGAGTGAGTGGTGAGTCTGTGAGTCTGTGAGTGAGTCTGTGAGTGAGTGAGTCTGTGGGTGATTCTGTGAGTCTGTGAGTGATTCTGTGAGTGAGTCTGTGAGTGAGTGAGTCTGTGAGTGAGTGAGTCTGTGAGTGAGTCTGTGGGTGAGTCTGTGAGTGAGTCTGTGAGTGAGTCTGTGAGTGAGTCTATGAGTGAGTGAGTCTGTGGGTGAGTCTGTGAGTGAGTCTGTGAGTGAGTCTGTGAGTGATTCTGTGAGTGAGTCTGTGAGTGAGTGAGTCTGTGAGTGAGTGAGTCTGTGAGTGAGTTTGTGGGTGAGTTTGTGGGTGAGTCTGTGAGTGAGTCTGTGGGTGAGTCTGTGGGTGAGTCTGTGAGTGAGTCTGTGAGTGAGTCTGTGGGTGAGTCTGTGAGTGAGTGAGTCTGTGAATCTGTGAGTGAGTCTGTGAGTGAGTCTGTGAGTGAGTCTGTGAGTGAGTCTGTTGGTGAGTTTGTGGGTGAGTCTGTGAGTGAGTTTGTGAGTGAGTCTATGGGTGAGTTTGTGGGTGAGTCTGTGAGTGAGTTTGTGGATGAGTTTGTGAGTGAGTCTGTGAGTCTCTGGATGAGTCTGTGAGTGAGTCTGTGAGTGAGTCTGTGAGTGAGTCTGTGAGTGAGTGAGTCTGTGAGTGAGTCTATGAGTGAGTCTGTTGGTGAGTCTCTGGATGAGTCTGTGGGTGAGTCTGTGAGTGAGTCTGTGAGTGAGTCTGTGGGTGAGTCTGTCAGTGAGTCTGTGAGTGAGTTTGTGGGTGAGTCTGTGAGTGAGTTTGTGAGTGAGTCTGTGGGTGAGTCTCTGGATGAGTCTGTGGGTGAGTCTCTGGATGAGTCTGTGAGTTAGTTAGTCTGTGAGTCTGTGAGTGAGTCTGTGAGTGAGTCTGTGAGTGAGTCTGTGAGTGAGTCTGTGTGTGAGTCTGTGAGTGAGTCTGTGGGTGAGTCTGTGAGTGAGTCTATGAGTGAGTTTGTGGGTGAGTCTGTGGGTGAGTCTGTGGGTGAGTCTGTGAGTGAGTCTGTGAGTGAGTCTGTCGGTGAGTCTGTGAATGAGTCTGTGAGTGAGTCTGTGAGTGAGTCTATGAGTGAGTGAGTCTATGAGTGAGTGAGTCTGTGAGTGAGTCTATGAGTGAGTGAGTCTGTGAGTGAGTCTGTGAGTGAGTCTGTGAGTGAATCTGTGAGTTAGTCTGTGAGTGAGTGAGTCTGTGAGTGAGTCTATGAGTGAGTGAGTCTGTGAGTGAGTCTGTGAGTTAGTCTGTGAGTGAGTGAGTCTGTGGGTGAATGAGTCTGTGAGTGAGTCTGTGGGTGAGTCTGTGGGTGAGTCTGTTGGTGAGTCTGTGAGTGAGTCTGTGAGTGAGGCTGTGAGTAAGTCTGTGGGTGAGTCTGTGGGTGAGTCTGTGAGTTAGTCTGTGAGTGAGTGAGTCTGTGAGTGAGTGAGTCTGTGAGTGAGTCTGTGAGTGAGTCTGTGAGGTGAGTCTGTGGGTGAGTCTGTGAGTGAGTATGTGAGTTAGTCTGTGAGTGAGTGAGTCTGTGGGTGAATGAGTCTGTGAGTGAGTCTGTGAGTGAGTCTGTGAGTGAGTCTCTGGATGAGTCTGTGGGTGAGTCTGTGAGTGAGTCTGTGAGTGAGTCTGTGAGTGAGTCCGTTGGTGAGTTTTTGAGTGAGTCTGTGGGTGAGTCTCTGGATGAGTCTGTGAGTGAGTCTCTGAGTGAGTCTGTGGGTGAGTCTCTGGATGAGTCTGTGAGTGAGTCTGTGAGTGAGTCTGTGGGTGAGTCTGTGGGTGAGTCTGTGAGTTAGTCTGTGAGTGAGTGAGTCTATGAGTGAGTGAGTCTATGAGTGAGTTTCTGGGTGAGTCTGTGAGTGAGTCTGTGGGTGAGTCTGTGGGTGAGTCTGTGAGTGAGTCTGTGGGTGAGTCTGTGAGTGAGTCTATGAGTGAGTTTCTGGGTGAGTCTGTGAGTGAGTCTGTGGGTGAGTCTGTGAGTGAGTCTGTGAGTGAGTCTGTGGGTGAGTTTGTCGGTGAGTCTGTGGGTGAGTCTGTGGGTTAGTCTGTGAGTGAGTCTGTGAGTGAATATGTGAGTTAGTCTGTGAGTGAGTGAGTCTGTGGGTGAATGAGTCTGTGAGTGAGTCTGTGAGTGAGTCTGTGAGTGAGTCTCTGGATGAGACTGTGGGTGAGTCTGTGAGTGAGTCTGTGAGTTATTCTGTGGGTGAGTCTGTGAGTGAGTCTGTGAGTGAGTCTCTGGGTGAGTCTGTGAGCGAGTCTGTTGGTGAGTCTGTGAGTGAGTCTGTGAGTGAGTCTGTGAGCGAGTCTGTTGGTGAGTCTGTGAGTGAGTCTTTGAGTGAGTCTCTGAGTGAGTCTCTGGATGAGTCTGTGGGTGAGTCTGTGGGTGAGTCTGTGGGTGAGTCTGTGAGTTATTCTGTGAGTGAGTGAGTGAGTCTATGAGTGAGTGAGTCTATGAGTGAGTGAGTCGTGAGTGAGTCTGTGAGTTTGTCTGTGAGTGAGTGAGTTTGCGGGTAAATGAGTCTGTGAATGAATGAGTCTGTGAGTTAGTCTGTGAGTGAGTAAGTCTGTGAGTGAGTGAGTCTGTGAGTGAGTGAGTCTGTGAGTGAATGATTCTGTGAGTGGGTGAGTCTGTGAGTGAATCTGTGGGTGAGTCTCTGGATGAGTCTATGAGTGAGTCTGTGAGTGAGTCTGTGAGTGAGTCTGTGAGTGAGTCTGTGGGTGAGTCTCTGGATGAGTCTATGAGTGAGTCTGTGAGTGAGTCTGTGAGGGAGTCTGTGGGTGAGTCTGTGGGTGAGTCTGTGAGTTATTCTGTGAGTGAGTGAGTGAGTCTATGAGTGAGTGAGTCTATGAGTGAGTGAGTCGTGAGTGAGTCTGTGAGTTAGTCTGTGAGTGAGTGAGTTTGTGGGTAAATGAGTCTGTGAATGAATGAGTCTGTGAGTTAGTCTGTGAGTGAGTGAGTCTGTGAGTGAGTGAGTCTGTGAGTGAGTTAGTCTGTGAGTGAATGATTCTGTGAGTGGGTGAGTCTGTGAGTGAATCTGTGGGTGAGTCTCTGGATGAGTCTATGAGTGAGTCTGTGAGTGAGTCTGTGAGTGAGTCTGTGAGTGAGTCTGTGGGTGAGTCTCTGGATGAGTCTATGAGTGAGTCTGTGAGTGAGTCTGTGAGTGAGTCTGTGGGTGAGTCTGTGCGAGACTATCCTCACCTAAGATTATTACCAGAAAGAAGATGGATATTGCTGTGCAAAGCCTCATTTTGCTCATCCTTCAACACAAACAGAGATACAGATGACAGAGAATCAGTCAGTCACTCACTCAGTCACTCAGTCAGTCATTCAGTCAGTCACTCACTCAGTCACTCAATCAGTCACTCACTCAGTCACTCACCCACTCAGTCACTCAATCACTCAGTCAGCCACTCAGTCAGTCAATCACCCACTCACTCAGTCACTCAGTAAGTCAATCAGTCAGTCAGTCACTCAGTCAGTCACTCAGTCACTGAGTAAGTCACTCAATCGGTCATTAAATCAGTCACTCACTCACCCACTCGGTCAGTCAGTCAGTCACTCAGTCAGTCAATCATTCACCCACTCGGTCAGTCAGTCACTCAGTCAGTCACTTGCCCACTCACTGTCAGTCAGTCCCCCAGAAAGTCATTCATTCAGTCACTCAGTCAGTCACTCAACCAGTCGGTCAGTCAGTCAGTCACTCTCTCAGCCACTCACTCAGTCACTCACTCAGTCAGTCGTTCACCTACTCGACCAGTCAGTCGGTCAGTAACTTGCCCACTCACTCAGTCCGTTTGTAACTCAGTCAGTCACTCAGTCACTCAACCAGTCACTCAGTCAGTCAATCACTCAGTCAGTCAGTCACTCAACCAGTCGGTCAGTCAGTCAGTCACTCGCTTAGTCACTCACTCACTGCACCATAGACTCAACACTGCACCATAGACTCAGCACTGCACCATAGACTCACTCACTACACCATAGACTCAACACTGTCACCCATAGACTCAACACTGCACCATAGACTCAACACTGCACCATAGACTCAGCACTGCACCAGAGACTCAACACTGCACCATAGACTCAACACTGCAACAAAGACTCAACACTGCACCATAGACTCAACACTGTCATAGACTCAACACTGCACCATAGATTCAACACTGCACCATAGACTCAACACTGTCATAGACTCAACACTGCAACATAGACTCAACACTGCACCATAGACTCAGCACTGCCACCCATAGACTCAACACTGCACCATAGACTCAACACTGCCATAGACTCAGCACTGCACCATAGACTCAACACTGCACCATAGACTCAACACTGCACCATAGACTCAACACTGCACCATAGACTCAGCACTGCACCATAGACTCACTCACTGCACCATAGACTCAACACTGTCACCCATAGACTCAACACTGCACCATAGACTCAACACTGCACCATAGACTCAGCACTGCACCATAGACTCAACACTGCACCATAGACTCAACACTGCAACAAAGACTCAACACTGCACCATAGACTCAACACTGTCATAGACTCAACACTGCACCATAGATTCAACACTGCACCATAGACTCAACACTGTCATAGACTCAACACTGCACCATAGACTCAACACTGCACCATAGACTCAGCACTGCCACCCATAGACTCAACACTGCACCATAGACTCAACACTGCCATAGACTCAGCACTGCACCATAGACTCAACACTGCACCATAGACTCAACACTGCACCATAGACTCAGCACTGCACAATAGACTCAACACTGCACCATAGACTCAACACTGCACCATAGACTCAACACTGCACCATAGACTCAACACTGCACCATAGACTCAGCACTGCACCATAGACTCAACACTGCACCATAGACTCAACACTGCACCATAGACTCAACACTGCACCATAGACTCAACACTGCACCATAGAATCAACACTGCAAAATAGACTCAGCACTGCACCATAGACTCAGCACTGCACCATAGATTCAACACTGCACCATAGACTCAACACTGTCATAGACTAAACACTGCACCATAGACTCAACACTGCACCATAGACTCAGCACTGCCACCCATAGACTCAACACTGCACCATAGACTCAAAACTGCCATAGACTCAGCATTGTACCATAGACTCAACACTGCCACCCATAGACTCAACACTGCACCATAGACTCAACACTGCCACCCATAGACTCAACACTGCCACCCATAGACTCAACACTGCACCATAGACTCAGCACTGCCACCCATAGACTCAACACTGCACCATAGACTCAACACTGCACCATAGACTCAACACTGCACCATAGACTCAGCACTGCCACCCATAGACTCAACACTGCCACCCATAGACTCAACACTGCACCATACACTCAACACTGCACCATAGACTCAACACTGCACCATAGACTCAACACTGCCACCCATAGACTCAACACTGCCACCCATAGACTCAACACTGCACCATAGACTCAACACTGCCACCCATAGACTCAGCACTGCACCATAGACTCAACACTGCACCATAGACTCAACACTGCACCATAGACTCAACACTGCACCATAGACTCAACACTGCACCATAGACTCAACACTGCACCATAGACTCAACACTGCCACCCATAGACTCAACACTGCACCATAGACTCAACACTGCACCATAGACTCAACACTGCACAATAGACTCAACACTGCACCGTAGACTCAACACTGCACCATAGACTCAACACTGCACCATAGACTCAACACTGCCACCCATAGACTCAACACTGCACCATAGACTCAGCACTGCACCATAGACTCAACACTGCCACCCATAGACTCAACACTGCCACCCATAGACTCAACACTGCACCATAGACTCAACACTGCCACCCATAGACTCAACACTGCACCATAGACTCAACACTGCAATAGACTCAGCACTGCACCATAGACTCAACACTGCACCGTAGACCCAACACTGCCACCCATAGACTCAAACTGTCACCCATAGACTCAACACTGCACCATAGACTCAACACTGCCACCCATAGACTCAACACTGCACCATAGACTCAACACTGCCACCCATATACTCAACACTGCACCATAGACTCAACACTGCACCATAGACTCAACACTGCACCATAGACTCAGCACTGCCACCCATAGACTCAACACTGCCACCCATAGACTCAACACTGCACCATAGACTCAACACTGCACCATAGACTCAACACTGCACCATAGACTCAACACTGCCACCCATAGACTCAACACTGCCACCCATAGACTCAACACTGCACCATAGACTCAACACTGCACCATAGACTCAGCACTGCCCCCCATAGACTCAACACTGCCACCCATAGACTCAACACTGCACCATAGACTCAACACTGCACCATAGACTCAACACTGTCATAGACTCAACACTGCACCATAGACTCAACACTGCACCATAGACTCAACACTGCACCATAGACTCAACACTGCAAAATAGACTCAGCACTGCACCATAGACTCAGCACTGCACCATAGATTCAACACTGCACCATAGACTCAACA